CAGTGGGACTTAAGGGTTTTGGAGATTCAAGGTCTTACATTGCATCTTAACATCCTTCCACATGAAAAAGCAGATTAAAAGTTCTCTGTATTTGTCTTGCAATCCTATCCTCAAGTTTGGCCTCAACTTCTTTTCATGATTCAAGAAGCAAGTGTTACCTTCCATTATAACCTCAGCGTTTTCTAGAAAAAAAACATCCTGCAAGCCCACTGGTCTGAACCATGACATCAGAAGTAACCACGGCCTTTCAGTCAATGGGCATTTTCTAGTGAAGAAATGTTTCCTAAACCAAGTCCCTGTCAATAAATACAATAGACATGTATAGCTGCCACGAGCAGGAGACGTTACTCCTGTGCAGAATGAAGCAGGGAGATTAAGGAACTCTCCATCTGTTTCTGCACAGTGCAACATGTGGGCTCTCCCTCAAAATATACTGTGCTCTCTGCTTCCCAGAGTCTGGGGAGACAGAGGCTGGCACAGGCATGGCAGGATGGAGCTGGACGGTCTGACTCAAAGTATATTGTTTGCTTGGGGAAGTAGGTAGCAGGGGAGGCTGCAGGAAAAATCCCTTAGTAAATGGAGCAGGTGAATGAAAGCTGGTCCTGATGCCAAGTTCATTCTGCAGGCCCTGATGGAGCTAAAAAAGCACATTAGACAAAACCATTATTGAACTTCTTGATTACATAACAATCTCCTCGTCGTATTTCCAAGAATATTGAATACATATTCAAACATCCTCCTACACTCTCCCACACACCACCCCTTCTCCTTGCTATATCAGCTTCATTACTGAGTATGAAGACAGAAAAAGTGTAGGGCATGTTGCCATGAGCAGGGAGATCTCGGATGCTCACACAGATTTCAGAGCCATCCCTGGGATCTGGACAGCCAAGTCTCATTCGTTTTAATGGCCTTGCAAGTCTCTGGTCTTATGCTTTGACCTTAAGGTATTTAGCAGTGCAAAGAACAGATACTCAAGCAATAAATATCACCAAGCCTAAATGCTGGGTTAGTCCCACCTGCCTAAAATGTCCCTGCCTCTGTGTGGCCTGGGGGGAGACATGCACAGCTTTTCTGCCCAGAAACTGCTGCTGCCAGAGGCTCAGAAGGGAGATGGGACATTTCTGAACAGACTGGGTCCTTTCTGGGAGCCCTCGTCCCCCCAGGATGAGCACAGACCCTGCCAACACAAAGGATGAGTCCCTGGGGCCACTTTCTCCTAGCGAGCAGAATGAAGCCCCGTGCAGGTGGAGATCTATTGAAAGGTGTGTGGTGGCTGCCTAGTTTTGGGGGAGATGTTGGAGGAAGTGGGGATTAAGAGCTTGCAAGCATGGCACATCCATCCTGCCTCAGCAAGCAGCAGTTGCACACAAAGTGGCTATACTTACTCACGTAATAATCTCGCTTGTCTCATTTGCATGTGTAATAACCAGCATGTATATACAATCATGCAAATCATTTTGAGGCAACTGCTAAAAATTCAATGAAAACTTTGCCCTGCCTGTCCTTGGGTTTCACAAAGGAACCACAGCAGCAATCCAAAGATTCACTTAATAAAAGTCTTTGGGAAACTGTTTGTTTAGTGGAGGAATTTTTTTTCTGGAATTCTGAAATCTGTAAATTCACTGGGATAGAGCCCTGTGCCACTGCATGCAGCCTGACTACAGCAGCTGGACCCAGTTTTCTGTGGACAACTGCTCCTAGGGTGGGTTTGGTTGGATGGTAGATGCTACCAGGACAAGGTAGTCTTTAGAACAGAAGGATCCTCTAAACCTTGCTGGAGATATTTCATCTCCCAGTTTTTTGTACTTTCCACCTGAAAAGTACTTTGAATATCTGAGGACAGTCAACTCACATTTGGGAGTTTTTCTCAGCCTGACAAGATGTATGATTGCAGTAGATCAATAAGGGGAATAATCTGCATCTTAAGAGCACAGGTGACGTCTTGCTGCAACTTGCAGGAGAAATGATAAATGTCTCTCTCTGTTTATTGCTTAGCTCCGTGGCTAAATCTACTAAACCAAAACCAAATTTTACCCTCAGATCTCCTAGTTTTTAAATTGATGTTCATCTGGCATCGCCTTGATCTTCAAAGCAGGAAGGTATATCAAAGAAAACAGAAAGTATGACAGCAATTACTGCTGCTGGATGCTATCTACTGAATAAAGATGGAGTGTTAATATTTACAGTGGAAGTGAAGGAGATAAAACACCCTGGGTACACCTAAGTCCACAAATAAGCCCTTCTGTGTATAGTGGGCAGAGATAAAGCCAACCAAAAAAAAAAAAAAAAAAATGAAATAACCGTTAAAAACGCCCCAAGCCCCTTCAGAAAAGTTGGGTTGGAAAACAAAAATTAAATTTGCCCATAAATCCAGAAAGAAAATGAGTGAGAAAAAATTGAGAAGGAAATTAAACAGCTCGATGTTCCCCAGCCACTGCCAGTTTCCTTTCAGGATGTTTACAGGGCCTCTCTGAATACTCCTAGCATCATATTCACTTCATAACATCACATGTGTAATGCTGTGCATGTGCTTATCAAGCCAACCAAAAAAAAAAAAAAAATGAAATTACCGTTGAAAACGTCCCAAGCACCTTCAGAAAAGTTGGGTTGGTAAACAAAAATTACATCAAAACGACAAAAAGAGCCTTCTAGGAAAGTAAATCAGGCTCCCTTCTTGGGGGTATTACCTGATCTGCAGGACATGGTCTTTTGAAACAAACAGAAGTAGTCAGCATTAAATTTCTCCTCACTTCATCACAGAACTCTTGACTTACTTACATTTTATTCTCTTGAGACTGAAGCCATCAGTTCAAGTGCTTTTCTATGCTTCCTTCAGAAGAGGCTCCCCCATCGCAGAAGCTGTTGTGGGGTTGTTTGTAGTTCAGCAGCAACTTTCTGGAAGAGGAAGGTGACGAGGAGGCAAAAGGTTTGCTAGTGCCATGGGGGTGCACAGCACAGCTAACAACAAACATTCTTTTAGGCAACCTGTTGAAAAAGGAATATTACCAGCATTGTTCTGGCAACTATTTAGGAACTGAAAGTGGGACTGTTCTGGTACTAGAGCAGTGCACAGGAGGCCATTTACACCACTCACTTCTTCCATTTAATCCAGTTTAGACAATGAAGCCAGAGTGTTTAATGGAACTAATTTTTGTTTCTAGTCAAATCTCATTCTTCAGATTAAATTACTAGGTCTGCAGTGTCAGGAATAAATCAAAGTTATATAGTACATTTTAGTGAGTTAAGGTAAATTATTTTATTACATTGATTTGGAAGGGATTTTCTTAACAGCAAGTGGATTTAAAAACACTTGTTGAAATAAAAATTTCAGAATTTAAACTCCTGCCTTAAATTTGGATATTTTTTTTTAGGTATATGTGCTTCTCTCCTAAAGCCATAGCTTAAGCTTGCTATACTAATTTAATTCAAGTGAAGCTTTCAGCCTTTATAGACTATTTCTGGCTTTCAGTTTTGGAGAAGAGGTGAGGCTTTTCTTGAGAAGACCACAGTGTTTCTGAACAATTTTGGATCTACATGTTTCTCCCACAGCAACAAGGCTTGTTCCACTGTAGTGACTGTCTGTTCAGGGATAAATGTTCACATGTCGCATTTTTTGACTGTCAGAATGTCTGTGCTGGCCTTGGCTGAAGAGAAATCCTACAAGAATTTCTTTCTCCAGTGCCCCAGGCAGCAACTGTGGATATTTGGGAATTGTGAGACTGATGGAGAAAGGTCACCCTGAGGAAAGCTAAAATCTTGTTATATTAGCAAGAATTTGTCAGATTTCCAATTCATGACACAGATCTCCTGTCGTATGTTTTATAATTCATTGCTTAATACTGTGTATCCAGTCATCCTGAACATACATTGCAATTGATTTCATGCTGCTTTTCTATCAAGAAGGAACCAGCTTACAGGGACCAGCTTACACTGAAATGAATACACAGAACATGAGTCACGTAGACGTGTGTTTTGAAATAACTGCTGTATTTGGTCAGTAACCTAAGAAACTAGATATAATCCCACCCAATTAACAAATGAGAGGGAGAGTTCACTAGTAGAAAAACACCCTCCTCAAATTGTCTCTCAGCTCTGAAACCTCCCTAAAATTACTTAAAAAGATGATGTAATTAGGGAAAACTGGAAAGGTATGGAAGGACAACCTCCCTACACCACCTGAAAGCTGCAAATACATTAATCCAGCACTTCAAGCTTTCTAGCTCTGCAGAGAATCGGTGGCCCAGGACCTCACCAGATTTAGATGGGTTTTTGGAGAGGCTGCTCAGTGCAGACCCTGCTCCTCCTGTTGCACTGATCTGGCTGTCTCAGTGTGCTGCAGTTTGATTTGCCTGGATGAGTTTGCTCTTTCCCCTGCCATGGAGAGCAAGGATGGCCACTTGGTCAGAGCTCAGCAGGTTTAGGAAAGCTTGGTAAAGTTTTCATGTATTTCACAACCATCAAGTTTCAAATTAGGGTTGAGTCATTAAATAAGAGTGTATTACTTGTATGCTTAGATGTAGTAGAATTGTACACACATCTCTGTAATTAGGCAGAGGCACCCAAAGTTACAGATGTGACCATGCATTAAATGGAGGACATCGGTCTGATGGAACCTTGCATTCACAATTGCATTCCTTGTTTAGATTTCAGAGCTGGTTGTCCAGATGGACTTTGTTGAGCACCTAATTAGTAGTTAATCAAAAGCTCCTGCTGTGAACTGCTTCACAGCCCTCCTGGCATCCTAGTTGCTTGGTACACATTATTTGACTGCACAGAGAAGCTGAAGTAGATGCTTTATCTCCTCTACGTATCTGACATAACTGAAGCAGCTTCCAAAATTAAATCACCTCAGGATGCATTGGTTATCTGACTTTGGAGTACTAAAAGCCTTGAAAATTAGGCTTGAAATGTGTAAGTGACAACCCAGCCCCGCGCTAATGGCAATGATCCCATAACAGCCTCTGAGATGAACTCACTGTCTTCTCTTTCCTTTCCAGATTTTGGCAATCATTTCCATCATGTTTATTGTACTATCTACAATTGCCTTGTCTCTTAACACACTTCCTGAACTACAAGGCGTGGATGAATTTGGGCAGACCACAGATAACCCCCAGCTTGCCCACGTGGAAGCAGTGTGCATCGCATGGTTTACAATGGAATACCTCTTGCGGTTCCTCTCCTCGCCTAAGAAATGGAAGTTCTTCAAAGGCCCACTGAATGCTATCGATTTGCTAGCTATCCTACCCTACTATGTCACTATCTTCCTCACAGAATCCAATAAAAGTGTACTTCAGTTCCAAAACGTACGACGAGTGGTCCAAATATTTCGGATTATGAGGATACTCCGGATTCTAAAGCTTGCCCGGCACTCAACGGGTTTACAGTCCTTGGGGTTTACACTGAGGAGGAGTTACAATGAGCTTGGATTACTCATCTTGTTTTTGGCCATGGGCATTATGATCTTTTCCAGTTTGGTATTTTTTGCAGAAAAAGATGAGGATGATACAAAATTCAAGAGCATCCCAGCTTCCTTCTGGTGGGCAACAATCACCATGACAACAGTAGGCTATGGAGATATATACCCCAAAACACTTTTAGGTAAAATAGTAGGAGGACTGTGCTGCATTGCTGGAGTGCTGGTGATTGCTCTTCCCATCCCAATTATTGTCAATAACTTCTCTGAGTTCTACAAGGAGCAGAAGAGGCAGGAGAAAGCCATTAAGCGCAGGGAAGCTCTTGAAAGAGCAAAAAGGAATGGCAGTATTGTTTCCATGAACATGAAGGATGCCTTTGCTCGCAGTATAGAACTTATGGACATTGTGGTTGAAAAGAATGGAGAAAGCATAGCCAAAAAGGATAAAGTTCAGGACAATCATTTATCTCCCAGCAAATGGAAATGGACCAAGAGGACACTCTCTGAAACTAGCTCTAGTAAATCTTTTGAAACTAAGGAACAAGAATCTCCAGAAAAAGCCAGGTCATCCTCAAGTCCCCAGCACCTGAATGTCCAACAGCTGGAGGACATGTACAATAAAATGGCAAAGACTCAGTCCCAGCCAAACCTTAATACTAAGGAGTCAAGTCAACCTGGAAAGCAAAAGGAAGAGCTAGAAATGGAAACCCTTCCCGGCCCTATGGTGCCCTTGCTGACGACTCGCACTGATGGGATCATTGACATGAGGAGCATGTCCAGCATCGACAGCTTCATAAGCTGCGCAGCGGAGTTCCCTGACTCCGGGAGGTTTTCCCACAGCCCGCTGGCTACCCTTCCCTGCAAAGGGGGCATTAACACGATCCAGGAGCAGGGCAGGCCAGAGGGGAGCAGCGCCAGGTTTGGGGAAATTAACCCAAGCTCCGAAGGCAGCCACCATTCTGCTTTTTTCATAGAAAGTCCCAAAAGCTCCATAAAGGCCAGTAACCCTTTAAAACTAAGGTCCCTGAAAGTCAACTTCATGGAAGAGGACACCAGCACATTAGTACCAGCATCAAACGTACTGAGAATATACCCAGACCCTCTCAAGAGCCGGGGAGCTGCTGCTGCTGCCACAGATACTTCCTTACTCTCTGACAGATCTCTCATGAGTCCAGAAACTTCAATCTACACAACCGCGAGTGCGAGAACCCCGCCAAAGTCACCAGAGACTCAGACAGGCATAGCTTTCAACTTCCATGATGCTGGTATACACAAATATATAGATGCTGACACTGATGATGAAGGTCAGCTGCTTTATGATTCAAGCCCGCCCGGAAATGTGAGTCCCAAGTACCATGTTACAAACAGTGGTTATCTAAAGCAAAAGGACCATGTTTATAGAACAGAGAAGAACCATCTAGAAGCTGCTGCTTTACCCACCTCCCCAAAGCTGTTAGGACAAAACTGCATTTATTCTATGGAAGGTATCACTGGAAGAACCCAGGGCAATCAGGAGACTGTCAGACTAGAAAATCACATTTCACCAGAAGTCCATGTATTACCAGGCAGTGGAGGACATGCTAACACACATGATCAAAGCATCTGAGATGAGCTCCGAAAGAACTTACTGAAAGTTTAAAGGAATGTCTTTACAGTCAACACAAAAACAAGAGCTTCTGCATGGCATGAACTCGGCTGAAACAAGCCACCTTCTAAGAGTTTGGGGGAGGTCCAGTGTGGGTTTGTGAAAATGTCCTTCTCTGAAACAACTCTAAAGACGTTGCCCACATCAGTAAAAAATAAGGATTGCAAATCATGATCACACATTGATCTCCTTTCATGTTGTCCAGTGAAGCCAATGTGACCAAATATCCATCCATTCCCCTTGAACGCTAGAGCTCCTTTTGGAAATATTAACATCTGATTTGCATTAGTTCCATAAAGGATGCCAAGGCAGCCAGATTTGAACTCTGGATTAAATTTCTGGGGTTGATATAAAGCTATCAAAAACACAATGCTCACTGCTTCAGGGCAGCTGTTCCCCATCTACAGCTGATGGATATTATGTCTAAAGGTAACAGGGAACACTTGCATTATTGGAAAATCCAAGTGAAAACTATTTAAAACAAATAACGCTCTAGAAAACCCAATTATTAAAATGCTCTTTGTGTGTTTAACAGTACAATCTCCTGTAGGACCTGACGTTTTCTTTTGAACTCTCAGCAGGGTGAGTTGCACCACTTGTATCTAATTCCAAACATCCCCTAGGACATAGTGAAACTTGCACTTACCCTCTGCCAACAACCGATACCTGCCCCAGGGCCAGCACGTGGCCCTCAGGGGACCCACAGCCCACGCTGGGAAGGTGTGGAGAAGCCGTGCAGAAGCAGGGCTCTCCGGAGGCATCGCAGCCAGACCCCTCCCTGCTGCCGGGGAGCACGGGGCTGGAAAGAGAGCTCAGCTCTTGCCCTACCCTTGCATGGCAGGGAGGTGCTGGCTGCCCTGCCCGCGGGGATGGTGGCTGGGCTGCCCCCGCGGCACATGCCGGGGGCACCGGGATGGCTCCCGGGCTTCCCCTTCCCACCGCTCCAGGTGTCGGCCAAAGTCTCGCCCTTGGCGCAGGAGAGGAACCGGTCGGTCTGAAGCTTTTTGTGCCCCAGCGGCGCAGTGAAAGATATGCAAGAGTTACATAAATATGCAACAAGAGGGACTCGTTAGCGACCCGCCCCAGGCCTGGCTCTGCTCTCTCTCGCCAGGTGGGGCAGGAGATGCTCCTGCGGAGCAGAGCAGCTGCGAGAGACAGGAGAATCAGGCCTGATGTTTTAATAACATCCAGTCATTTTTAAATGAAACTAAAAAAAAAAAAAAAAAAAAGGAAAAAAGAAGAAAAAAAGAAAAAGAAAAAAAAGATCTGACCATTTTAAGTGAACAGAACTAGCAGCCACCAGCCTAGGTTTTTAAAATATTATTGTTTCAATAAAGTTATGTAAATCATGTAGGAAATAATTTGTCTTTGGTTTTTAATCTCGCGGGGGGAAAAGCACTTTACGTTGACTTTTTGTTGTTGTTATTGCGATGCTGGAGTAGGATAGTGTCAGAGTGTAACAATCAAGCACTTTAACCAAGCACTGTTTTAATTTGTGCCTCCTGTCGTGACCATGATTTGTTACACGCCTGTAGCAAGTCACAACCTGTCCTGTGATGACTGTGATGGTAATCTCTTCTGTTGTTCTCTGTTTCTATTGTAAAACTCAGTTGTAAATAACTCTGTCAATGAGTGTTTCCTGACCTGGGTACCTGCTGGGTCATGTCACCATCCCGTGCAGCAGGGCCGGGCCGGGCTGGGCCGCGGGAGCAGAGGCGCCGGGCGGGAGTGAATCCCCCAGCCGCTCGAGCCACTGCATTTTGTTCCTTCCTAGTGTTAAAAAAAACCAAACAATAAGCTGTTGGTTAGTCCTGAATGTAAATGTCTGTCCGTCCAAGCTGTACAGCACTTCTGTCCGTAATCCGTAACAGTGAATGCAGCATGTACGGACAAAAGCAATAAGCACATACCTGTTTTAGGAACTATTATGAGTTACAATGATAGCTTTCTAAGGTCTCTCCTTGGCACAGAACTGTACATGTGTTGGAGATAAGGCTGCTGTGCTCAGCCCACCCATCCCCTGGTGGTGAGATGCAGCCCCAGGCCCCGCTCAGAAGTCACCCTTCTGTCCCAGCAAGGTGAGACCCTGGGGAAGGCACCAGTTAGACCTGAGCCACCACCTCCAGAATTAGCCCTCCAGCAGAGAACAAGTCCTCGTGCTGTGCAGTGACACGGAGGTACTTGAGAGGCTGAAGGTACCTACATGTGCAAACGTTGCTCTCCAGAGCTCTAGGCAGGGCCAGTTCCTGAGGTCTGTGAGCTTCTACTCTGCCTTCACTCAGCCAAAACCACCCTTCCTCTGAGCGGGTGCTTTGCCTGGTGAAGGACTTTAGGATTTGGCCATAGTAAATACAAGTGTACTTAGAGGAACTGACATATTGCTGAGATACTAGTTAAGATTGAGTCGTCATGAAGAAGTACAGTGACTTTCCAGCAGATAAGCTTTAAATACTGATTTATTCTGTGGCTTCCTGAGCCCATAAAGTGGCAAGAGAAATCTTATAGAGAACAGTCTTAACATAATCTCTATGTTTCAGTGATCATTCATGCCTGCCATCAGCACAAATGTAAAAAAGAAGAAAAATCAGGGAAAAATTTTTTGATAAAGTAAGTAATAGTGATTTCCAAGTTGAATATTTTTAGAGCTGATGCTTTCACGTGGGAAAAAAAGTCATATTTTACATATCACAATGGTGAACATATTTAAATATAGCCATACAGCATAGTTTACCACACTCTCATCCAAACTGATTTATTTGGTTTATAGATGGCACTGACAAAAATGTATAGATCAACAATTCTATCATTTTTTTAACTGGTAATCAACTGGTGCAACTCTCCTTGTAACCAAAGGCCCTCTGTCTGCCTTGTGTGATCACTCATGACACACACCTTATATCATCTGTTTAGTCCTACCTTTAAAGTAGCATTTTACTGAGTCACTTTTGAAAGCCAGATTCAAAAGTTATCATTTTAAAAAAAATTAAAAATCTACCTTTTAAGTCTGAATAGCCAAAGTCCTATAGATTTCTTATAGAAAGCAAATAATTTAAAATTAAGCATATAATATGCTTGAGGAGCATTTCTTTCTTATTTGTGTATGAAGATGTAGCTCTCATTTTGTGCCCAGTTAAAAAGGAAGTATGTTTAATTTATTTTAATGAAATAAAGGCTGAATATGAACTACGTATCTATATATGTGTGTGTGTGCATAATACACATATATATAATGTAAGCACTGGGAAATCTACTCTAACGTAAAGCTATGGTAGACTAAATCTGTACTCATTACATAAGGAAAGGCAGTGCTTTGAAAACACAATGCTCACCATATCCTGTAGACACTAGAAAGACAATTTCATTTTATAGTTTGCTCCATGTTTCCCAAAGCTCATAACAGTCGGGGAGGGGGGGGGAAAGGGAATAAATATGCAATATCTCCTGCATCAAGCTCAAGTGTGCAGCTCAATCACTGGCATTTGGTATTCAGGGCTGCAAACTGACTGTGCATCAGGTACCAGGCAAGCTGAGAGCGACTCACCTGCTGCTGCAGAAGACATCAGAGCTGAAAGGACTATGGATGTGTGATGTCTGTGCTTGCTTGTATCTTACGCCATCAACATTGTTTTTAATACATATATATAAATATATATATATATATATATAAAATATATATATGCGGAAGGAATGGGTGCAGTTTTCTTAACCAGGAGGCAAAGATCCTGTAAGGTTTAGCCTTGACCAGAGGAAAACAGCAGTCACATTGCAGTAGATTTCTCAGTGCCTTTTCTTAGAAACTTCACCTAAGCACACTTAAGGAAAAAAAAACAACAAACAACAAAAACTGAAACAAAACAGTCTCCTGTGAAATCCACCTTTTCCCGAGAGGTTCAAAAGTCAATAAAGGTAGAAGAGGGGGAAAAAATAACTAAAAAGATGAAAAGAAAACCCACAGAACGCACATTCCCTTCCCAAACATGAGTGTGTCTAATGCTGGGGAATATCTGTGCACGTCACGCAGAAACACATCCGAGGCGGTCGGTTTCTCTGGCAACTATGGCTGTGATAAACTGTAGCCTTTTCTTCCCTTGCAGCTAATAAGAGACACATTTCTAAGGAAAACAGTATTCTCTTCTGTAAAACTGTAATGTATTGTTAATATTTGTACCTATTGTATATTTATGTCTTGGCAGAATTATGGCTGGTAGAGTTTATAGTAAATGAGGGTATTGAAAGCTCATTGCAAAGACAGGTTTCTAAAGCCAAGTTCTCTCTCTGTTGGTCAGTTCCACTCAACATCATCTCCAACAGTTTTAACACCTCATTTCAAAGCAAATAGTGGAATTACTGAATAAAGTAGCCAAGAGACTGAGTGGCACTGATGCCCTCCTGTGCAGCCCCAGGAGTGAGATGGGGATGGGGCTTCTCTGGCCACTCCAAATTAGCTCAAACTTCTTCATGTTTGGTCAGTCACTTCTGCTTATAGTAATCAGACTGAACAAGTGTTACTTTAGGTTGTTTTAGGATCACCCAATCAGGGAGAATATGGCTTTAAATAGTTCTTGAATAAAGTACAGATGTTCTAGTTACCTCTGTACCTCCTGTTTGCCATTGTGTTGGCTTTATAAGTATCTGATGTATGGAAAAGTCATGTGACTTTCATGCATTCCAGAGTAGTCTATTTTTCTGTTCAGATTTAAAAAAACTATATATATATATAAAAATATAAATATATATCTGTATTTTTAGCAAATTTATAATAGGGCAATCAAGTCAGATTTCTTCTTTTTGTATTACAGAATAATATATTAGATGCTTTTTTGGTGTTCATTTCCATAGCTGATCCCCAAACCTTTTTGTTATCATTAATTTCTTTTGTTCTAAAAAATACCTGCAACATCCCTCCTGGAAGTGTGTCTATGAAGGGTCACTGAATTTGTCTGATGTTGTCATGTTTTTGT